CGAAATTTCGTTTTGTATACACTCTTTGTATAAAAATAACAATAAAAGTTGTCCAAGTCTAAAAGTCTAAGTCAGTGAGTAAATGATCGCAATAGCAGATAGAGACATCTACAAATGCAACATCTATGTGCAACATAGACAATTGAAACATCTACAAACGCAAACATATACATATGCAACATGAGTATCAGGCATCAATCAACGGTGTTCTGTCAGATCATCATACCCTGTCAGACCAGCTTACCCATAGTCAATACACATTCTCAAGATGTCAGATTTGTCTTCATCCCTTTAGTTTTGTACGAAAAAAAGACATTAAAATACCTCGACTGGCGTGTATCCATTTAATCATGTACAAAAGAAAAAAAAAATTAAGGTCAGATCGCTAAAAAACACGTCAAAAACACCAAAAAGTTAATAAATAGTTTTTTTGTACATGACTAAAGGGATGCATGCCCGTTGAGGTAGTTCAAAGTGTATTTAGGGATGAACTGAAGGGATAAACTGGTATTGACTATGGGTATGCTGGTCTGACGGGGTATGCTCATTTGACAGGACAACCGCACTGGGTAACAACATGAACCGACAACATCTACACATATTACATCTGCTTATTTTTTAAACAAATGGAACCTCAAAACACCCTTTTGCATCAATACCTTCACAATAATTACTACAGCAGGGATGCCCTGTGCCACTGCTCCTGTTGTATAAGGCGCAGCTTAGATTTGGGGGGTCTAGTTTGGGGTATTTGGTTCCTGCTTTTTGGAAAAGGCTTTGCTGATATTGATGATGCTGCTGCCGGCTTCCCTCCTGCCACGACCTACAGAATGCAATGGGTTGGTTCTCAGTGGAATGTGAAGCGGCTGGGGTGAAGATCAGCTCCTCCAAGTCCTTGGTTTTCAAATGGAATAAGGTGGCACCCTTCCTGCCTTAAGTGGAGGAGTATCTTGTTCTTGAGGAGGGGAGAATGGAGTGGGAGAGACGAATCAGTGTGGCTGCTGCACTGGTTAGTTGTGGTGAAGGGAGGGAAAAGGTACAGCTCTTGGTTTACAGGTTGGTCTATGTTCCTACCCCGACTTATAGCCGTGGAATCTGGTTCATGACCAAAGGAACGAGATCCTGGATACGAGCAACTGAAATAAGCTGCATCCAAGGGTGGCTGGGCTTTGCCCTAGAGATAGGGTGAGGAGCTTGACCTCGGTAAATTAATATCATGAGCCTCAAACTAAAGCTTGTTGAAGTTTGAACAGGGGAGCTTTCTTGGTCGCCACCCTATGTCCATTTTTCTGGTAAACTTACCTCACTCTAAATAGTCAGTATGGTTTCCCAAAAGCTGCCATCTATTCAATTCAATTCAGTTTATTAATTTAGCGTCAATTCACAACACATGTCATCTCAAGGCACTTTACAAAGTCAATACAATGAGATCTTAAACTGGTTTCATGAGGACACTGCTTAAATTTCAGTTTTATGCCAGGAAATCCACAGATTTAAACATACTCTACCACTTCTGCCAACGAAAGTGGTCAAATATGTAAGACTACTGCTTTGACAATAAGCAGTCTACCTTCTGTGAACATGTTGGTGTGGATATTTTTTTCCTGTTTTTAACACAGCAGTAGAACTGGACACATTTTGACTTATATATTCGAACACTTCACATCTTTATTACACTTAAACTGGTAAACGGTTAGACATAAACCAGCTCAAAGACTTAGGACTCTCAAACCTCAATAATCAGTTCGCTGTAAGGACCCTAAATTAGTTGAAACAGTCTATAATTCACAATTTTTGCCATTTTTAATTTTGGTCAGGGCAGGAGCAAAATAAAAACAATCAAGACGCCTGCAAATGGCCCCAGGGCTCCACCCTCAGAAGGAATTCTACAGCCATAAACACCCAATCCTAAACATTGCAACTTAAAACATAAGTTATCATGAAAAGCAAACAAAACATCACTCAGGTCACAAATATATGATCCTAAAATCTTAACGTTAATTTACAAACTAATCTGTGATTTTTTTTAAATATTTCATTGGGTACATCAGAGATTATATGATCACATTTGCTGGTTAGAACCAGGCAGCAGGTCAGGTTTAAGTCCACCATGCTGGCTGGTTACCGGAGACTCGTCTCCACCCTGCAGCCCCCCGATCATGGAGCCCAGGGTCCCATAGCTTCCCCCATACGGCTCCATCTGAGCAGCCACACTCAGACTCATCCTTTCTCTCCGAGGCATCTGCGGTGTTTGGTTCAGTGCTGAAGAGGGAAGGGAAACCGGTGTAGCCGCATTGTCGCTTAGACTCTGCACTGTGACGGACGACTGCACAGATGTAAATATAAGTTATAAATGAAACGTATACACAGAAATAAACAGATGACTAATTCAGGTTAATTAGTTGATGTCATCCAATTGCACCCCAAACAATTTTGTATATATACATATATATTAGTGGTGGGTATAGATACATTTTTTTTAATCTAGATTAATCTCACTGAAATCTTGAAATTAGGGTAGATTAATCTAGATTTAAATTGCCTTCATTTGAATTATGCCAAATTTGAAATTATTTAAATATATATATATAACTACAGACAGAGGGAGGGACAGAGAGAGAGAGCTCTTGCAAAGCTTTCTGGGATATATCTGCTTTTCTAGTGACCATGGCTGTGTTCGAACATCTGCCCTAATCGGGTGGTTACACCATTTTAGAAGAGTGTCCGAGTCTCCGGAGGTGGGAAGATATATTCCAGATTGCTTTGCAAGGAGAGCTCTTGCAAATCAATCTAGGGTTGGATAGATTTTTTTCAGGGCAAGAGAGAACAAAGTGAGCCGGACTCACGTGACCAATGTGGAGCGAAAAGTAACGATCATCTGTCCGAAAGTTAACTGAGCTCACTATAAAGTCCTCGCTCTATATAGTGATTGAGTGATTTAGCGGTTAAGGCGGTTGTTTGGACACAGCCCAGATGTTATTTTGTCCTGCCTGGACTTCCATAGTTATAATAATAATAATTACAAGTATCTCTTTTTAAAGATTAACAGCAATATAATAGGTTAATATGCACATATTCTCAGATATGCCTCAAAGTATCCATGTGAATAATCAGAGGAAATTCATACTTACATTTCCTACAGATGCCAGACTTCCGGCCGCCGCCTTCTTCTTTCTGGCCATGTTGGGATTCCATTTGCAAACCAGACTGTCATTCTGCACACTGTAGTTTTTATGACCAACAAGCCAGTATGTATTCATTTTGCCTTTACCCTGGGTAGAGAATAATGAGTAGGGTCAAACAGTCTGCCACAGGCAACACAAAAATCAGCATCCACATTAAAAACAATAAAAAATTATTGTAATTTTTGAGACGCCTAAAACTGGATGTCCTGTCAAGCTGTTGGGAAATCATCAAAATTACAATTAACTTAATCATATGATTTTAAATATCAGATAAAAACAGTGAAGGAACCATGAAGTTTCCCTAAGTAAAAAAAACAAACAAAAAAAACAAAATATAATTAACAGCTGGGTATAAATCTTAGTCCACACTTACAGCTTCTATCTAAATTAAGAAACAAAGAGAGCTAAGAGATTAGCTAAAAGTAGAATTGAAAATCCCTTTATTGTCCCACAGTGGGAAATTGTGGTGTTTACAGCAGCAAATGTTATAGTAAAAGTGGTCACATAATGCGTACCTTAGAAAAGTGTATAAAAATAACAGATAGAAAAATAAAGCCCTAAATGTGGATCATTATCAGCGTGGCCACTTATGGACATAAAGACATGTGTCCATTCATCACTAAAGTAGGAAGACATCAGCACTGCTGCTGCATATCCTCCTGGGAAGGGTAATAGTGTCAGGAATCCAGTTTGTGTGGTCTGTTTTGTGTCTGTCTCTCCCTCCACCACCAGGTGGCGCCCTGTCATTGTTGGTCCTCCCTGCACACCTGCGTCTCTTTGGATCATTATGTGGAGGAGTACTTAAGCAGTGGACTGTCACTACCTCGACGCCAGAGTGTTTGCCAGTTTTGGGTACTCTAGCCATGCTTAGATTAGCTGAGTCTAACCTGAGTCTTTGTTTCACTGAGTCAAACTGAGTCTTTCCTTGTTTTTGTCTTTGCCTTTGGCAGGAAGTCCTCCTGCGTACTGGAAGTTTGGTCTTCTTCCCCTGGAAGGATTATTTTCTGAGTTCACACTGAGCAGGGGAGAAACCTCCACATGTGCCGTTCAGTCCCTCACGGAAATCCAAGTGACAGTCCGCTCCAGTGCTCCTCCGGGTCCAAAGAATGTCTACCTGTCCACTCTTCAACATGTCTCCTCTTCTCTAGATCAACCCACACAGACTGGATGCAAAGTAAGAGATTCCAAGATACAACTTATGGGGCAGGACAAAGAGACTATGGAGAGTTTCAAATACCTGGGTTTTTGCGTCGATAATAAACTGGACTGGACTCATAACACTGATGCTCTTTGTAAGAAGGGCCTCAGCCTTCCTCTACGCCAGGGGTCTTCAACGTTTTCCCGGCCAAGGACCCCCAAACTGATGGCAAGATGGAGCAGGGACCCCCTAATTATATATATTGTATGAATGTCAAATAAGTATCAAAATGGTCCTATAGTCACTCTATTACAGAGGGAGTCTTATAAAGTAAGTAATTTCTCCCTGGGATTATTAAAGTATTTCTGGTTCCTGGTTGATGGGATAGGTGTTGTGAATGAAACGGTGCCCAGCTTAAAAGAGCTCCTGTGTGTCACTGAATGTGTGCATTGATGACTGAAAGACATCTTCTGCCTCTATTTACTACGGTGTGTTGAATTCATGTTAATGTGGATTTAAAGACATTTCAAATAGGGGAAAAATTGCAGGGGGGGAATATAAAAAAAAGTCTAATCAACCAACACTTTCGTGACCCCCATGCAGTTCCTCTGTGGACCCCCTAGGGGTTGCGGATCCCCTGTTGAAGACCTATGCTCTACGCTGTTGTCTGCTGGGCCACTGGCAGCACCAAGCATGGACAACACTTCCTACTCTCTGCACCAGACTGTAGAGGAGCTGAGCCGCTCCTTTAGTGAAAGACCTTTACACCCTGTTTGTAAAAAGGTCATTCATCCCTGCTGCCACCAGACTCAACAATGCGACACTACAATGGCAATAACTTGTGCAAGGTATAATGTCCAATACCTTCTGTTATGACCTGTTTCTCTATATTTGACACCCAGTATAATAACTATATATTTAAGTATCCATCTATATAAATACCCATGTAAACATCAAACACCCTGTGCAATAACCCTGTACAATCCTGCTATAACAAAGAAGAAAAGCTGTCCTATGTGGACGCAGTGTATATACTGTATATATCCCATGCACCTTTTTCTTCCTTTGGCACCTCAGACTATTTGAGTAACGAGTACATTTCTCCACTGTTAGATCAATAAAAATCAATCAAGGTGGCAAAATTACATTTCAAATAGCTACACAATTCAAGTAGCAGTGTCTTTTAGGCCAGTTAGAGGTATGTGCACCAACCAACTTTAAAACAACTTTCTTGAAAGAGCCGTTTATATGTTGTGTATCATTTTGTTTAGCCAAATCTCAGAACAAAACATCAATTACAAACTGCCAAGCATGGTGCTCAAAGTAAAAGAGAGTAGGGTAAAATGTGCTCAAGTAAGAGCAGCATTTCCTTATAATGCCGTATTTTTACTTTAATAAAAGTAAAAAGTACACTTACAAGAAATTACTCAAGAAAGAGTGGAAACCTTATTTGTTATTTTAAAGAATGGAAATGTAACTTAAAGGAAACTGATCATCGTATCTGACTTGTTGTATAAAATTACGTAATCATGTGCAAATTCTGGCGTTTTAAAGGGGAGAAAAAAAAATAGTATTGGAAAAACTAAACGGAAAATAACAAACACAAGTCAAAGAGCCTTTCTATCTCAAAACCAAACATCATAGAAATTATACACCAAAACTTCCAGGATGTAATATGTGGGAAAAATGAAGTAGCTACATTAAGATCCATTATTTACTTTTCACCTCCACGTCATAGAAGGTTCAGCACCCAGTTTTTCATGAACCGTTTACTTCTTTCAAGTTAAATTGTTAAATTAATATTTAAACTTTACCGGATTTTAAGGGTCACTGAATATTTTTGTTTTTATAATGTTCTGACACATATAAGGAGTGTTTAAAATAGGGCTCATTTGAATGTGTTTAAGTTAGTATACATTATATGTAGAGTAAACAGTTTATATGCTTAGTTTCTTCTCAGACAAATAGAATGTTTTTTTTTTTTTTATGAAATGGCGCCTCTGATTTCCTTCATATGTGCAAACTGAATTGATTTTGTGTTTTCAGTACAGATTGTTTTATAAACAGAATAAATATGTTTTTAAAAGTGTTTCATATAAACCTATCAAAGAAAATCAAATACCAGATAGATTGATTTTTATGTGTTCATGTTACCTTGACCTCAATTTCGCCACGTAGCTGCAACTCATAGGCGTTGTCCTTCATCAAAGCCAAGTATGTTTCTGAGCTGGTGTGGATTTTCTGAGCTGAAACAGGAAAGCTCACGTTAGATACATTCAGCTCAACACATCTGCTGTTGATGTTTTTAAGTTTGCCTGAACATCTGAATTTGTTCCAGCTGTTACATCATGTAAAGATATTACAGATGTTTTTCGTTCAAATGTAGAGAGTAATAGTAAATATTCTTCCAAAAAGAAAAAGAGCTAATCAAGCAAAGTAGCTAAGTAGTAATACTTGGTTATTTGACATTTCAGCTTCTAACTAAAGGCTGACGAGGTTCATTTTAAAGTGTTTACGAAGGCTGGTGGACTCCATCCTTGAAGCAGTGTTGACTGTATCTCCAAACAGACAGTATCTTGGCATTTTGTAGCCCACTATTCCTGCCACACACGGACCTGTGGAGCCAAAAGATGAAAGAATAATAATATCCACAATCAGGTAACAATGCAGTGAGATTCAATCAATTTTTTTACTGTCAAAGTCAACTAAATGATGCTTACAGCATCTCCAAAAGTCTGAGAAATAATAACTAGAAAGCACTCGGAGAGCGTAGACCTCTGCCAAACAGCTAATTTTGTCCAATATTGTGCCTTTCATCTATAGCTCACACCTTTGGCAAAAAAGTAATTAAAATCAGTTTAGAACTTTTCAAGTTATCCTGGACACAGACAGACAGACAAACACACACATACACGCACAAACCCAACTAAAAATATACAGTCAGGTCCATAAATATTGGGACATCAACACA